TCCATGTCCAATGAAGCAAGTCGACGTGTCTTGCATAATTTAGTTACTTACCTACGTACTGTACCTAGGTTTAGCTACTAGCCTAGCATTATCGCCCCGGGCGATATAGATGGGCACGATGAGCCTCAGCTCCCGTCATCTGGCTCAGCCATCCTTTCCAAGGTGTTGTGCTCCATACTGCCACGGGAGATGTGTGAGAACGCCTGGCTTCGATTGTTTAGGAGTGACAGCTTCCAAACTACTATAATGTCCGGGCAATTTACCACAGAAGAGTGCTCCTGAAGAGGCTTCAAGATACCGATCTCTGCGCACATGGAGTACCAATATCAATGTGTGAAGCCAAACCTACCTATCTCGCAAGCTGCTTGCATTGACTGGTCGACCCGCAGTCTCAAGGTCATGCATAAAAAACGGCTTATCTGATACTTGATCACCAAATGTCCGATATGACAGCTACAGAGATAGAGAGAGTAAGAACCGAGTACCAGAGTGAATTAAGTGAAGTACATTGACTCGCGGTCTTGGTTTCCATTACCAACTGAGATAAACAACATCACTAGGCCAGTTATCATACCTAAAGAACGACAGGTCAATGGTTTTCTAATAATAATACTTATTATCTCTCTTCGCCTCACGTAGATTATGGCCTAAGGGCTTCAAGCTTCTTGGCTCAAACTCGTCATATGCACTTTTGAATTCCGGCTCAACTGAACGTGTATCCCAATACCCTCACTTTGAGAAGCCTAGTCGATCGAGATAGCTTCGACTACTCAGTTTCCATACGGCACGTGCTCTTGTCGGTCCGAAGGTGCTGGTGTCTTTGAGCAATGCACAAATGTAACGGTTCAAATGTCCCAATCTGATTGCACTTCAACATGGGTCTCGACGAAATAGACTGTCATGGCTTTGTGGGCCTAAATATGCCAATGGGAAACTCATTAAGGCAAACGGTAGGTATGTAAGATCACGATGGGCCAGCCTCTGACTAGAGGCTTCAGAAGTTGAAATTCCTGGTATGTGTGAGAATAGCAGTCCTTATGAGTCAATGTTTTGACATCCAATATCGTGGGGCCGCCAGGTCAAAGGGCACGACCCCAGACTTTACTAATAAGCCATAGCCGACAATTTGTTCGGCATAGTTGACGGATGAGACAAAGAAATATCATCAAGATGGATGCCGTGCTGAATTCCATTCATGCTTGGATGACAAAGGCTTATATTTTGCGTTCATTTCACAAATTTGTTTTCAGGCCTCACACCACGGTGATAGTGCTGTACCGTCTACGCTCATGGTTGAAACGACATATCTAGCAATAACGACTCAAGTATAATCGATTTATTTTGATTAGTCAAAACATAAACAAATCTACTTATTGAGCATGGACCAGTGCCCTCATTTCCGACTATAGGCACCAAATTGGCTCAACGGCCGGGTTTTGGATCAGCAGCTTGGTAGAGAGATCATGATGTTGCATGTTGACACGAAGCAGGAAAGCAACCAAGCACATTGTGAGGCTTATTACTCAAGATCAAGCAAGTAATCATAGCCCCAAAGTCCGACTAGGCGGAGTGGTTAGCGGTAGAGACACAGCCGAGTCATGTCTAGTTGTAGTGTGTGCATGTGGTATAGGCGCTCTGCGCTTTCTATATAGACATCACTGCAGCTGCTGCTTCATCAACGACTTTGGCTAAGAAGGATAAATCAGGGGAAGACGAGGGCACGCAGAATTGATGAAGGGTGGTTGGGATTCTCCATGTTTCAACGCCTAATCAGAAGAGGCACTCGCTTCTTCCAAGTGGTGAACATACATGACAGGGTCACCTAGCTGAAGTGTATGTCAGATCAATGATCTATTTTTTCCGCCTTCCATGGGTTGTTGAGGTTCGTTGTTTATTTGGCTTGCGTGCAACTTTGACTTCCCTTTCTCAATAATACTTTTAGAAATGGAGCATGAGATCAGGCAATCCTTCTGCCAAGCCAGTATTTAATGGTGCGCGGTTTCAAGGCAAGGCTTATTGGTGTGCCTCATATATGGAAGCCTGGTGCATCGGTGAGGGAGATAGGAAGGGTTTGGGGGGGGCGGCGAGGGTTTCTGCAGGCAAACACCAATGCAGCTTGGTATGAGAAGCAGAAAAGGAATATGCAATAATATGTAAACATGGGTTGCATTGGCACTCCACTTTGTCTCCAGGAATCCCAAAGAGACCCCTGTTTGAAAATTCCACTGACCTGGCTTCGTCTTTTGTTGCGGACGCTCTTGTTTGGTCCCAGAAAACTCAATTACCATAAGTTTTCGTCCATCGGGCTGTTTCTTCATCTTTGATGAGACGAAACAAATTCTTTTTTGAAAGCGCGTGGCACGGGGCGATGGTCTAGAATTATGTGAGGAATGCGGATAAGTCCACCCAACTTTATTAGATCTGACGACGCTACGAGCAGCGCCCTCAGTGAAGAGCCTTGGGACCCAGATTGGATGAGCCGTCATTAGCTAATACAGCTCGGGAAACATGGGGAGGCGAGTCCCCTACAGGGGCTAGAGGGAGACGTCAGTTGAAGAAGTTAAAGTCCAGTTACCTTAGCCAGGCTTTAGAGGGGCTGAGAGGGCTGGCATATGCGGGCGGCAAAACACTCTCTCCACTAGACCCGCCGTCCCATCTTGATCAAAGAAGATCTATTGTCGACATACATCGAGTGTGCAGCTTTTATCAAGGACTCGAGGCGTCGAGTCTTCATGGTAATTCTAATAAGATCTTGTAGCCGCTATCGAGTACAGGACAGGGTCTAGCACAAGCTTTATGGCCAGCAGCGATCTCACCAAGCCGCCGCGGATGAAATTTGAGATATTGGCCAATTAGAATATGCTTTTGGCACGTTGATCAGTACCTTATGGACTCTTCAGGAGGTCAGAGCAAGTGCAGGAGCGTGAATCCATGGTTGCCTTGCCCATGTTCGGAACTAGAGTGGTGGCCAATACCGCCAGAGCCTGTGTTAAGCGCAACTTGGACTGGGATACGGATAGAGCTGCAATGTTCAACCTGAAAACAGATGAATACATAACGAGGGACGACCATCTAAGGCTCTGCCAATAGATTCGCTCTGAGCTGCTCTTATCAATCGTGATGAGATAAAACTGGATATTTCAATTTGGTCTCACATCGAGTTGGCCATTCTCCGTGACAAGGGTTGTCGAGACTCCTTGTTGGGGGATCATAAATTTGTACCGAGCTATCTACTGCAGTTGATCATTGTAAATAAGCTAGCCAAGCAGCATCTGTCCTAAGTCAATGTGCTCAACAACGAGATGATAGTGCGTCTTCTCTGTATGACATACCTAACCACCTTAGAAGGCCATTTAGATGGCACGATCTGGAATTTAGTAATAAGAGCTATCAACCAGAGCCAGAACCAGTGAGTCTCAAGGCGGTCCCGATAGCATGGTTCAATGGACACCAGCACAGCGGGGAATGACAGATGCGAAAAGCCCATTGGCGATGGCCACGTTGTTTTTGCCCGAGATTTTGATCAGTTGAGGCTGGGTTTGAAAGATACAAAAATGCCTACTCACACCGTCCACCATTCTTAAAGGAATAAGGATAATGATAACAATTCAGCTTGGTCATATAAATCTGTCGCACCGGCAGAGACTGAAAGCCAGACAGGTCAGAAGCCGCGTCCCCTCCACTCAACTTTTCATGTGCTCTCAGTAGGTAAGTTAGTATGTAGTCTGTGGAATTGGCTTGTGAAGATGCTCTATGGTCCATGGAGGGTATTGCTGATCAAGTTATTGAAATGGACATGGCAGTATGATGTGGATATGAATGTGAATTTGTTTTTAGATTTCGGCGGAGAATAGCGCTGAGGTGAACCCCTTGGTCCTTGCCAGCAGCTGAAAGGTCTGCGGTCCCTGCCTCCTGCTTGAATTGGGCTGGATGTGGATGTGACGGTTGAATCGGGTTGGCAAAGAAAGCAGGCGGTGGCACGGTTGGTACCGACTTATACTTTCCCTCTGAATGTTTACTCGACCATGCCTTATTCCGTAGGTGCTCAGTGCAATTTAACCCTGCACCAGCTCAATTCAATTCAATTCAGTTCAGTTCATTTCAGTTGAGTTCGCCTCCAACTTTGGCTGATGGCGTTCATCACCACGTTTCACTTCAGAGTCAGACATGACAAGGTTTCTCTATTTGACATTACTTCCGCTTGCGCTACTCTGCCGAGATCGTTGCAAGACTCCCTAAAGCGACTCTTCCACGAACGGTCGAGTCCCTTTGTAACCAACGATATCCGGTTGTAGGCACTCTGGTTCGCACCCCTCGCTCCCATTAGAACATTGTTAGTTACTGGCTGCAGACGCCCCTTCAACTTGGCCGTACCCATCAGCTTCAACCCCCCAAGCCCCCAAGGCTCAGAAGTACTACCTAGGTAGCTAGGCTCCCTTCAAAATCTCTCGTCTTCACTCGCCTGCTCACTGGTTCGCGTTGGCTCGCACACCCCTGTCTTCACTCCTTCTCCACTGTCGGCTCTCTCACCAATTGGCACAGCCCTCCGCCGACTTTGTCTCGTCATCGTCGAGGTTCCCTAGTGCCTTTGTACTCTTTAGTTTCGCCCACTCGCCCTGCCTCCACGAAGCTCCTAGTACCGTACAGTAGCTGGTTACGGCCAACCATCTGGAGCGACAAGGACTATCCATCCATCTCTTTCTCTTGTCTACCCACCGCCAAACATTCTCCTTCCAGCTTCCAGCCTTGACGCTGCTCAGGCATATCTCGCCCGACTTCATCTTTCAGTACTTTTCGGATTCGCTCGCCCGTCCCCAAGAAAACGCCTCGAGGACTCATTTACGAGGGTTCGAGTCTTGTCCGCGCTTCCTCGCCCGTATCGATCCGATTTCCCGACCTCTCCGTTCATCCTTGACGTGCCCGATTACCATTTACTTCACCAACTTCGTATCGCATCTATTCGTCAGTCTTCCTCAATCCTTCATTCCGAACCGAGCCAGCAGTTCGAAATCCGAGCTACAAAAACCCTCACGACTGTCTCCCTTCCCATTATCTCCACATTATACGACACCGCTTACTTTCGCAAAACGTTGCGACCGTCATGCACTTCTGAAGATAAACAACATCATAAATCACGAAGTGGACCTGTGCTCAGCACACCGATCACTTCCTTTTTATCGAAGGGCCGTCTTTTTCGGGCCATTTTGTGATCCGCCAAAATGGGTGCATGCATGAGCTCCAGTAATGAGGAGGCGGATCAGAAGAAGAAGAGTCAGGCTATCGATAAAATTCTGGAGGAAGACTCGAAACGATTACGGAAAGAATGCAAGATTTTGCTGCTAGGTAAGGGTGTCGAGGCGACAGGCGAAGCGCTGAGAGCCCAAGCTCTGATAGTTAACAAATTTGGCAGGTTCTGGTGAGAGTGGCAAGTCGACGATTGTCAAACAGATGAAAATTATCCATCTCAAAGGCTACTCGGAAGATGAGCTGTTCAATTACCGGCCAACTGTTTTCAAAAACCTTGTCGAGTGCGCCAAAGCTGTTATCATGGCCATGCAACAATTCGACATCGAGCCCCAAAACGAAGAGAACAAGGCACATGCGGAATTCCTGTTAGAATACCAAGCCGAGTCTGGTCCTCAAGCGCAAATCGATCCGAAAGTGGGCGCAGCGGTACAATCTCTGTGGAACGATCCAGCGAAGGATCTTCTTATGGAGCATCAGACAGAGTTCTACCTCATGGATTCCGCGGAATAGTATGTTCAGGCAGTTGATATTGGGCGCGGATTGTTGCTGACTTGGGTTGTTCCAGTTTCTTTCAAGAAGCAATGCGAATAGTAGCATCAGACTATCTACCGAACGAAATGGATGTGCTCCGAGCGCGAACGAAGACGACAGGTATCTATGAGACGAGATTCCAAATGGGGCAACTAAGCATTCAGTAAGGACATACGACTCCCGCACTGGGCACGAGCTTCTATTAACACTTTGACAGTATGTTCGATGTTGGTGGTCAACGAAGTGAGAGAAAGAAGTGGATACACTGCTTTGAGAACGTCACATCAATCATCTTCTGTGTGGCATTGAGCGAATATGATCAAGTCCTGCTCGAGGAGAGCAGTCAGGTAAGCTTGGGAATTGCAATAATGATATCTGGGGGGTGTCGTCTAACACCAGCATTAGAACCGAATGATGGAGAGTTTGCTCCTTTTTGACTCGGTTGTCAACTCACGGTGGTTCATGCGTACTAGCATCATCTTGTTCCTCAACAAGGTTGATATTTTCAAACAAAAGCTGAGCAGGTCTCCGCTGGGTAATTACTTTCCCGATTACTCGGGTGGTAACGACGTCAATAAAGCAGCCAAGTATCTACTCTGGCGATTCAATCAGGTCAATCGGGCGCATCTAAACCTGTATCCCCAGTAAGTTTTGTTAATGTCGAAAATGACTCCTGCGGGTTCCTAACATGAAATAGCTTGACGCAAGCAACAGATACGTCAAACATTCGACTCGTTTTCGCTGCAGTCAAAGAGACTATCTTGAATAACGCACTTAAGGACTCGGGCATTCTTTGATAGCGAATCACTGCTCATTTGAATTTACAACCACGATGTTAAGGGCACGGAACTGTTGGCTGGCGTCAAGAGCATTTTTCTTTTGTGGAGTCTGGGGTACGGGGCTCAGGACGACATCGATTTTATACGATTCTTGCTTTATTATTTATTATCTTTGTTCACGCGACGCCTATACTCGGAGCCTTCCTCGGGTATAGTCTCCACGGCTACGAACGGGCATTTCTCTTGAGCCAATCTCTTCGCCGGTTCATGATTCCTGGAGATGCGCCTGGTTGTCCGCAACTCAGGGCAAACCCCTTCCGAAAAGAGTACTATCGACATGGAGTTGAATTTGCGGTTTATATATCTTGGTCTGGCATATATTGTGCTTCATCGAGTTTTCGAGTTTTGGGCGACTAGACCTTGCAGGAGCTCAGGGTTCAGGTTGGGCTTTGTTCAATTGGGATCTGAAGCATTGTATGACATGGAAATGAACGGTGTTCGCAATGCGACCCAGGTTGCTGTCGTGAAGCTGCTTAGCGAAGCAGTCAGGTCACTTTGGATTGAAAAGAAATCCCGGAGTGCGGGATAGGCGGAGACATTACGGTACTAGCATTCCTATGGCTTTTGTCGATCTCAAAGATACGGAAGAGAAGCAGGCGTATGGTTGCCGTTTCCAGGGAGATTGGTGTTTATGGAGCTGACTGGGAACATCAATGAAAGCCGGACTCATCGTCTGGCATGCTAATGGGTTGCTTATCTTCTCTAGGTACATATGTAGTTCTCGATTCGAACGAGACGAATTGACGATATTTATATCATGAAATCGCCTTTGATGGGCTCTATTTGGACAAGGTATGCATAGTGGACGTGATGTGAAAGATATATTTTGTTCCAGTGAGATGACTCGCTTGCCTGGACACCCAAGTCAAGTACGATAGTTATAAACCGTTGGTATGCGTACCATTGCTTGGCGTAATAGACCCAATAGCTCCGCGAAACGTGCTGTTATGGACTTAAGGAGGATAATAAACTTTACTGGGAGGGAAAAGGGAAAGTTTTATGACGGGGTTTGGCCAGGAACCCGATATCAGCAACGTACGATGGTCCTGGGAGCTACGTACCTTAAATTGACCTGGATGAGGGGCTGAATGTGGATTGGAGCTTTGACCGTGAGCCATGAGGCAATCGGCAAACTAACGTATTTCCCCACCACCCCATACTCCCCTAGAGTCCGCATACTTTTCTTACTAAAATCTAGCTTTTATAATAAAATATTAAGAATATAAGAAAAAATTCTATAACTTAGATTTTTATAATATAGGCTATTTAAGATTTAAATTATATATATTAAACTTTTTTTAAATTATATTATTAAAATATAAAGTTTTATTAATATTATAAATATTAGCTTTAAAAGAAAGTTTAAAATAATAAAATAAATTATTATTTTTAAATATTTATAAAATATAATAAATTCTTTTAAAATTATTAATATATTATTTAAGATTTATATTATATAAAAACTATTAAAAAAGATTATTAATATTTTTATTTAATATAATAAATAATTATAAAGTTTTATATAAATTTTAAAAATTTTAAAAAATAATATTAAATATTTATAAAAATAATTATAACTTAATATTTAAATATAACTTAATATATAATAACGTGTTTTATAAGCGAGTGACCCATATAAGCGAGTGACCCAAAAATCCCTCAACTTACATTATCATCATTCAATTCAATATCTTTCAACAACCCGATATGCCACAGCCTTCATATGAAGCTAGGATACTTCTTGCCCTTCAGGCCCTTCAAAATGACCCGAAATTAAGTATCCGAAAGGCGGCGACTGTATATCAGGTCAATCACCGCACCTTAGGTCGCCGCCGGAATGGCATTCATTCAAAGCGTGATATAACCACAAAATCACGGAACCTATCTGATCTAGAGGAACAGACGATAGTTCAATTTATCCTTGACCTAGATTCCCGAGGTTTCCCCCCTCGGCGCGATTTTGTGGAAAAAATGGCCAATTCTCTACTTGCCGATCGCGAGGCATTACCAGTCGGCAAGCTCTGGGTTCATAACTTTATCCAACGACAACCAGAGCTAAAGGCATGTCGATTTCGGAGATATGACTATAAGAGAGCTAAATGCGAAGATCCGACTATTATTCAGGGCTGGTTTCGCCTCGTAGAGAATACGATCGCGAAATACGGTATCCAATTAGCTGATATCTGGAACTTTGATGAGACCGGCTTTATGATGGGTATGATTGAGCCCGGAATGGTCGTCACAAGCTCAGAAAGGCGAGGGATACCAAAGAAGATACAGCCTGGAAATCGTGAATGGATTACTGTGATTCAAGCGGTCAATGCAGAAGGTCAATCGATCGCACCATTCATCATTGGTTCAGGCCAATATCATCTTGCCAATTGGTACCGAGAATGCAACCTCCCCGCCGATTGGGTCATTGCATTGAGCGAAAATGGATGGACCAATAACCAGCTAGGTCTTGACTGGCTACAGCACTTTGATCGATCAACAAAGGACCGATCAGTTGGTTCTTATCGTCTCTTAATCCTCGATGGTCATGAAAGCCACCACTCTATCGAATTCGAGAGATATTGTGAGGAGAATAAGATTATTACCCTCTGTATGCCTGCTCATGCCTCTCATCTACTCCAGCCTCTTGATGTAGGGTGCTTTGGGCCGCTGAAAAAGGCCTATGGGCGAGAAATAGAGCGTCTAATGGGATGCTCTATAAACCACATCACCAAGATCGAGTTCTTTCCTGCCTTTCATGCCGCCCACCGAGCTACTATTACAGAAAGTAATATCAAAGGAGGTTTTAGAGGAGCTGGGCTTGCTCCCTTTGACCCAGAAAATGTCATCTCAAAGCTTGATGTGCAATTACGGACCCCGACACCTCCCGCAGAGGTCACGATACCTTCAACCCCTTGGACTGCAAGGACCCCAAAGACACTACTAGAGGCCCAATCGCATTCTAAATATCTACAGGGAAGGGTTAGAAACCATAAGAGCAGCTCCCCAGAGTCAATTATTGAGGCTGTTAAGCATTTTGAGAAGGCAACAAGCGTCCTTATCCATAAGATAGTCCTACTAGAGGATAGGCTTCAACAAGTTGAACAAGAGAATCGGATAGTAAAGCGACGCCGGAGGGGGAAAAGGACTAGACTACAGAAAGGAGGGCCTTTGACTATAGAAGAGGCATCACAAGCAATTGATCAGATGGATGTTGATACGCAGGTAGCAGCCGAATCGTCGAGAAGTGGTGGTCGCGGAAGGTCTAAGGGACCGAGGGTTTTACATTGTAGCAAATGCGGCAGGGCCGGGCATAATACAAGGACCTGTCAGGAGGAAATTGAGGTTAATTTAGAAGAATATAGCGATTAGTTTTAATTGATCTGATAATTTGTGGTATTTTTATTGCCGATTTAATTGAGAAGGTTGAGATTTTTGGGTCACTCGCTTATATGGGTCACTCGCTTATAAAACACGTTATATAAAAATATAAAAAAGTTTATTAAAAGCTTTATTTATCTTTTTATAAGAATTTAAAAATATAAGCTTAAATATTTTTTTTAAAAAAGTTTTAATTTTAATTTTTTAAGTTATTTAAACCTTATATTAATTATATATTATTATAAATATAACTTATAATTTATAATTTATAAGCTATTTTACTATATATATATCTTATTATATATAATTTATTTAATATTTTTAAAATATATTTTAATATATTTTAATAAGTTTTAATTATTAAATTTTATTAAATTTATAATATTTTTATTAATTATTAAATTTTTAAAAAACTTTATTTTATATATATTTTATAATTTAAATATTATATTAAAAATAGTTTTAATTAATATTTTAAACTAAATAGCTTATAAAGTATATATACTTAAAAAATTAAATATATTAAGTATTTAAATATTTATAACTTAATTAATAATATATATATATATATAATACTTTATCTTATAATAAAAAAATATAACTTTTTAATATTTTAAAAATTCTCTTTATATTTAAATAGCTATTTTATTAGTATTTTAATTTTATAGGTATAAGTAATAGGTTTTGGTAGGAAAAGTATGCGGACTCTAGGGGTGCACGGGGTGGTGGGGAAATACGTTAGTGGACAGGGGCCTACGCCCACGAATTACATATCCCTGTTTCTGGCGACACACACACTCCCTCGACATCTCAACGCCTGATGCTCGGCTACCATACTGTGAATGTCGCTCGAGTGTCGAATTGCTGCTGTCGCCTCCACTATGGGGTTGGGAGCCCAGATTTGTCGTTTATAAGGTCGTGGCCAACTCTCTTTCACCTCTTTTTAAGCCTTCAGTGCCTCTTCAGCCGGGGCTGATCACGTGGCAAGCAGCACCACGTTACCTTCCCCGACGAGGTGACGATGGCGAGTAAGGCGCGCGATGCAAGCATCAGCTGTCAGGTCTATCAACTCAAAATAACACTCTCAAAAACACACTTCAGGCAGCATACCAACTACCCACACAATAGCCCAAGATAAGCTTTTCAGCTTATCATCTGATCAGGTCTGACGCATACAAGAGAACCCTAAATACATTCTCCAAGGGATAAAAAGGCTGCCTCCAGTCCCCCCATCATGGATGTGACGATGGCTCTTTTGCCTCTGACACAAATACCGGAGCACATCATAAAGAAGGCTAAAAACGATGTCAGGCTCTTCTTGGGCTTTGTTGCCGCCGGAGATTCGGCTACAAATACTGGAGGTAGCCTTGCGCCAGGGGGGGTCGCGGCTCCTACGCGGCTGTCTGCTCAGAATGGAAGGCATTTATTGAGCCGCAGAATTTCTACCAACTAGAATTACAGGTACCATGCCTAGAGCAACTTGGCCATATGACCACTCGAACTGCGGCTTTTGTTCGTCAAATTCGGCTGAATATCGAGCTACCACGATACTCATGTCGCTCTTGCCAGTGGCCTGAATCAAGGTCGCGTAAGTCGCAGCATAGCTCCATCTTCAGAGCTGCGATACAGAAACTGTTTACTGTCTTAAGTGCTTGGAAACGGACAGACCCCTTAGTGTTAGAGCTTAACACCTTCTCACCTAGCGACTCGGAGCACTGGTTCAAAAATTATTGCATTGGACTGGACGCCCAAACCGAAAAGGGCCTTGAGACGGACGTGGAGGTACGTGATTTCTTCTACTTCCGTCTTTATTATGTACCTGTTGGATCGCATCGCATGTTCTACAAGCGTAGGTGTGCGTCGTATGTCGTCATGTCACAGAACGGTTGCTGTGGGGGAGGGGAACCATGCCGCCAGTTGGTGATGGTATGCGGCCTAGTCATTGCGGTAGACGAGGCAAGAGGACGACATTGGCCGGTAAGCGGAGCAAAAGAGACAAAATGCGACGCAGTATGGGTTAGAGCTCTAAGTAATGCCACATTCAACGCGGCAGCAAGACAAAACAAGACACACGCTAGGCAAGTGAAGCTGTTGCTTTGTTGTCTTTTCTGGCTCGGCTCGTGTGGAGGGGTTGTCATGCTACCATATTAGAATGGATCCGCTCATGGTGGAGGAGACTGGACGGGAAGCTCCCTCCCACCACCATCAATTGTGTTGCACTTACCCAGAGACAGACTATAAGCTCCCTGCAGCTCCCCTCTCTCAGCTCATACCAAATGACTTGAGCTACTTTTCCTCCTTTCTTCCTCTTTCCTTTCCAACCTCTCTCTCAGTTCATCCTCCGCTGACCTCTCAGTCTTCCCTTTACAACATCTGTTCGTCAATTAACATAAAACTAACCATATTATCCTCTCTCATCTTTACCTCAACTCGTTTCATCCCTGTCATTCTTCTCCTCAAATCTTCTTTGTCTACTCCACCAAGCTCCCCTGTTCCCCAAGCTCCCGCCTTCTCCGGATCCCCATCAACTAAACGGATGGCCTCTCTGGACAACTGAATACGCGCAACTTCCCTGTCCTCAACAAAGTCGATAGAGAAACACGACAGTCCAGATTCGACATACCACGGCTCATAGCCTCCTCTCGCATATAAATCTACCTTGCCTAGATCAGATCCCTGCACTTATTGGGATTCTGAGCCGCCACGATAAAAGCAGGGCACGTAAGAAACTACTGCAACTTTACCTTGCACCTTCAACCCCGCTCCCCCACCCAAAGCTGTGGCACACCTCGTGTAGTTAGCCAGTTGTGTTATCTAACGTCGAGAACTCGTTCAGTGGCATCAGTAAACCTTGTTGTTGATGTAGGTGATCTGATCTGATTCTCGCTTCACAAAAGGACAAGGGATCTATCCATAGTGGTTGAGTATTTAATTGCTATGCCCCGACACTAACAGTTCTTATCTCTCTTCTCTCGCCCTTCAATTTCCTCACCCGCTCTCACCACTCGACTAACAAGCCTGTGGATAGAAGCGATGGCGTCTGAACAGCAGCGTTTGCCCACCCGTGAGAGGCGCCCCTCCACCTCAGCCCCGATTGTCGACATTCAGGGTGCAGTCGGCCCCGCAGGCATCTCTCGCCCAAAACACACCCGAACTGCCACCGGTTTCGGTCCTAGTGAGATCAAGAGCTTTGAAGGTACGTTGTCTATGCACTCAATCTGCAATTCGTTTTCTTTGAGCTATTTTCAATCGTCAAGATTCTTTGCTCGACGCCCCCCCCATCTAATCGCTGGAAACGATCTGCCACTGAATATCGACTTACACCACCAACAGCCTCAATTCCTGAACCTCAGCGTGAAGCATGGAAGCGTAACCAGTCTAGTGGCTTTACTGGTAAAGACGGCTTCGAAAAAGAGGTTGTCCGCCATGTCGAGACCACTCTCGCCCGCTCTGTCTTCAACTGCGATGAGCATGCTGCCTACTCTGCTACCAGCCTGGCTTTCCGTGATCGCCTGATCCTTGATTGGAACAGAACCCAACAGAGACAGACTTACCGCGATTCCAAGCGCGTTTACTACTTCAGTCTTGAGTTCTTGATGGGTCGCGCTCTTGACAATGCTATGCTCAACGTGGGTCAGAAGGATACTGCAAAGGGTAGGCGAATTCAGACCTGAGCTTATTGATGCCTCGCTAATGTGAGCTGCTAGCTGGTCTTGCTGAGCTCGGCTTCCGAATCGAAGATATCATCACGCAGGAGAACGATGCTGCGTTGGGTAACGGCGGTCTTGGTCGACTCGCTGCCTGTTTCCTCGACAGTCTGGCCTCCCTCAACTACCCCGCTTGGGGTTACGGTCTCCGATATCGATATGGTATTTTCAAGCAGGAAATTGTCGATGGATACCAAGTCGAGGTGCCTGATTACTGGCTTGACTTCAACCCCTGGGAGTTCCCACGACACGACGTCACTGTTGATGTAAGTCATAAAATACTTGATCGATAGTCAAGCACAGCTAATCTGAGATCAGATTCAATTCTTTGGACATGCTAGGAAGACTACTGATGAGAATGGCAAGTCCGTTGCTATTTGGGAGGGTGGTGAGATCGTTCAGGCTGTTGCCTACGATGTTCCCATCCCCGGGTACGACACACCCACAACAAACAATCTGAGACTGTGGTCCAGCAAAGCTTCTGGTGGAGAGTTTGATTTCCAGAAGTTCAACAATGGTGATTACGAGAGTTCGGTTGCCGATCAACAACGAGCTGAGACCATCAGCGCTGTTCTGTACCCCAACGACAATCTGGAGCGCGGAAAAGAACTTCGGCTGAAACAGCAGTACTTTTGGGTTGCTGCCTCCTTGTACGATATCGTTCGCCGCTTCAAAAAGTCCAACCGCCCCTGGAAAGAGTTCCCCGACCAGGTGGCTATCCAGCTCAACGATACCCACCCTACACTGGCCATCGTGGAGTTGCAGCGAATTCTCATTGACATTGAGCACCTTGAATGGGACCTGGCCTGGGAAATTGTCGTGAACACCGTGAGTCGATCGAACAAGCTTGTAACTTCATCCTCTAACTGTTTTCCAGTTCGGTTACACCAATCATACTGTGCTGCCCGAAGCTCTGGAGAAATGGCCTGTTGGTCTGATCCAGCACCTTCTACCTCGACACTTGCAGATTATCTACGATATCAATCTGTTTTTCCTCCAGAAGGTCGAAAAGGCATTCCCCAATGACCGAGATATCTTGAGAAGAGTGTCCATCATTGAGGAATCTCAGACAAAGATGGTGCGCATGGCGTACCTGGCTATTGTTGGATCACACAAGGTCAACGGTGTTGCTGAATTGCACTCGGATCTCATCAAAACCACTATCTTCAAGGACTTTGTCGAGATCTACGGCCCTGACAAGTTCACCAACGTGACCAACGGTATCACTCCTCGCCGCTGGCTTCACCAGGCCAACCCTCGTCTTTCGGAGCTCATCGCTTCCAAGGTTGGAGGTAATGGCTTCCTCAAGGACCTCACCACTCTCAACCAGCTCGAGAAGTTTGCTGATGACAAGGAATTCCGGAAGGAGTGGTCCGAGATCAAGTATGCCAACAAAGTTCGACTCGCTAAGCTCATCAAGTCGGCCGTAGGTGTCACAGTGAACCCTGCCGCGCTGTTCGACGTTCAAGTCAAGAGAATCCACGAATACAAGCGACAGCAGCTCAATATCTTCGGTGTTATTCACCGATATCTCCACCTCAAGTCATTGTCCCCTGAGGAGCGTAAGAAGGTCGTTCCTCGTGTTTCCATCTTTGGAGGCAAGGCCGCCCCCGGTTACTGGATGGCGAAGCAGATTATTCATCTGGTTAACGCTGTTGGCTCTGTGGTGAATAATGATGAGGATATTGGAGATCTTCTCAAGGTCATCTTCTTGCCCGACTACAACGTCAGCAAAGCTGAGATTATTACCCCTGCATCGGACCTCAGCGAGCACATTTCTACTGCCGGCACCGAGTAAGTTAATATGCAAGCACCAAGAAATCAGTGGCTAATATGTGTCGCAGGGCATCCGGCACCAGCAACATGAAATTTGTGCTGAATGGCGGTCTCATCATTGGTACTTGTGATGGTGCCAACGTAAGTGTATGAAATCTGCATTTGATTCCACGGCTAACCAGAACCACTAGATTGAAATAACTCGCGAGATTGGCGAGAACAACATCTTCTTGTTTGGAAACCTCGCTGAAGACGTTGAAGACCTCCGACACAGTCACCAGTACGGTTCTCATGAAATCGATCCCGACCTGCAGAAAGTGTTTGCCGAGATTGAGAAGGGCACCTTTGGCTCGGTCCATGACTTTAGCGCTCTGGTCGCTGCTGTCCGTGATCACGGTGACTACTACTTGGTGTCTGATGACTTCCACAGCTACAACGAGACTCATAAGCTGGTGGATGAGGCGTATCAGAACCAGGAGGAATGGATCAAGAAGTCAATTATCTCTGTTTCTCGCATGGGATTTTTCAGCAGCGACCGCTGCATTGACGAGTATGCCGAGAGTATCTGGAACGCAGAGCCCCTTGTCGTCCATGATTAGATCGTGAAGGACTAGTTTATGATAGAAGTAGACACGGCTATGTGGATAGATTCACAGAGAGGCGTGGGGTTAGACATTCATGATGGACGAGAGACAAGAGAAGGAATTGGGCAGACTGGTGACATATGATTGGCGGTGGAGAATGACTTCGAAATGCGAGACCATGACAAGAGCGGATAATGGATAGGCTCTCCCCTTGATAATGAAACGGCCATGGCATATATTACTCCTCGAACTCTTGATTTTGGTGTGATCGCATCCGCATATAGGCGTGTTGTTATGTGTGCTGATTTTCCCGATATGTTGTTGGATCCGATCAAGTAAGTCTATATCGGCAGTGCAGATCGATGAGAAGGCCTGCATGAGACTGAATCTCAACGCTGTATTCCCAGGCAATGATTCACCGTAACCATGCAAGGTGTATTGATCCATGCGTCTCTGTGGGGTTCTAGAGAGACTGAGGAATTGATACGAGGACTTTGTGGGGTAATATGGTCACGAAATGGAAGGGGCCGAAGAGGTGAAGTTCTAGTGGAAGCTTAGAGAAGGGCATCTCAAGTGATCTCTCGACCTTGCCCGGCTGCATATCAAATGCGAGCACGAGCCCGATCAAAAGGAATAGCACTATATCTACAGTACGGCCGTCTAGAACGATGCAGCACCAGTACATGCATGTTATATATAGGATTCACTTGAAAGGGTGGTACCCTGAACCGGAACCGTTGGAGGGGTGATGTCAAGTACCTAGATTTATGGCTTGGCTAGACGGCAGTTATTTGTACGTAGTACGTAGCAGAAACTTGACTCTGGGTGGGTGACCGGTACCAAGCGTCCGGATTGCTATACATAGTGGACCGTAAGAGATTCGGTACCGACTCTTTGGAACAGTCAGGGCGGGTGTTCCCTTGCTCGGTCGCCTCTACGTGTTAAGATCCGCGTCACGGGACGGGAAAGATTCGCTGCAGAGAGTTTAAGTATGCCCTGGATGCCGATCAAAAGGTCTGGAACAAAGTGACATGGTCGATCTGGGATGTCAATTGGTAGGGTTGGTTCTGCTGGGTTAAGAGACGATAGAATTTAGATCTTTACTAGATGGGATCGGATGGAAGATGAACGTGTGGATGGCAATGGGATCAGGAGAGGATCGACAGGGCACGCTTGTGTTGTGAAGCCAAGGTTAAGGGGCGCTGGGGAAGATCTGAGGTTTGAAGAATCGCGAGGGCTGTGAGTTGCGATATTATGAGTTAGAAAGCCCAGCGAGTGAGGGTGGCACCCAGTTATGCGTGTAATTCAAGGAAGGTCAAGATGACACTGAGGCATATCATCCTGAGACCTTACCGCAACAAGGAAATTAATAATTGAGAAGGGGGGCAGGACTACGCTCAACCAAACATATCAAGACTGTAACATGAATCGTTGACATAGTAGAGACAACTCCAGTGCGAGATGTTGGTGGTAACCCTCGTCTTGAGGTGTGGGACTTTGGATACTGGTACGACAAAGATGCAGCTGAAAGTCAAGGCTTTGATATATGACGTAGCGAATCGTGAAAGAGA